CGCCCCCTGTCACACACAGAGCCGCAGGGCAGTCAGGAGATTGGGGAGCTCCCCCCTATCAGGCACAGAGGAGGGCTGATCAGGGGGTTGGGGTGCCTTCCCCTGTCACGAACAGAGTAGGGCGGATAGGGAGGTTGTGGCCCCGCCCCCTGTCACACACAGAGCTGCAGGGCGATCAGGGGGTTTGGGCGCTGCCCCCTGTCACGCTGATCCCGGTGCTGGGAGCCTTGCTGCTCCGCTGATCCCGGTGCTGGGAGGCATATTACCCTTTTACTATATAGGATAGAGGCCTGGTGCACGGGTGGGGGCTGGCTGGTTTGCCCTGAAGGGTGTCCTGGATCAGGGTGGGGGTCCCCACTGGGGTGCCTGGACAGTCTGGGTGAGGGGCTGAGGGCTGTTTTCAGGCTGGCAGGTGACTGAAGCTCCCAACCTCTCCTTTTTTTCTTTTTCTTTTATTCTGGGCCAGCTTTAGCTCTGAGGCTCGACTCCAGCTCTGAGGCCTCGGCTGCTGAAAGCAGGTTTCTGGCCTTTGTTTACCTTCTGTATTTGATACAATGTTGCGGTCCTGCTGGCTGAAGCCTGGATGACTGAAAGCAGGTTTCTGGGGTTTTGTTTAGCTTCTATATTTGTTACAATGTTTCTTAGAGAGCAGCTGAGAGGCCAGCAAGGCAGGCGGGGAACCTGGCTTCCTCCGTCACTGGAGCAAGCAAGCCTCCCTGTTCGCGTCAGCTGCCTGGCTGCCGGCCGCCATCTTGGCTGGCAGTTAATTTGCATATCTCAGTGATTAGCCAATGGGAAGGGTAGCGGCCATACGACTAATTACCATGTTTCTCTTTTATTAGATAGGATGGCCAGTGCACATCGTAGCTACCGGTCAGATGGGCACTTAGCCTTTTATATATAGAGACATATGGAGATATATAGAGATATACAGCGATATAGAAAAGGTATTTTTTTTTCAGGCACTGTCTAAGCAGAATCCAGTACTTGATGGGCACCAGTCACTGAAGAGATAAAATAACAATTCTAGCAGTGGTTCTCTTGACTGTGCTCTTACCATGTGCCCGCTGCTATGTTAGGGTCACATACCATTTGCTCTTTACAGCAATCCCATGTGTTTATATATGTATATGTGTATATGCTATGTGTGTATGTTAAGTGTATGTATACTTTAAAGAAATATTTGAGAATAAATTTTTCTTTACTCTTAAATATGTGTATATTTCCTATGAATTTGAAATATTAGTTTTCAGTAGTGACCAACTTCAGGAAATTTAGCACTGTTGAAATACTTTTATCTAACATGCCATCCATATTCCAATTTTGTCACTTTTCCCAATAAAGATCATCATAGCATATGTGTCTTCCAGTCCAGGATCTACACACTGCATTGAGTACGCATTCAAGGATGACTCACTGGTCTTTCAGGGGTCACCCCAAATCCTGAGAGGAGCTTCTTGTCAAAGACACCCAAGAATCACCACCTCCTCCTCTTAAATCATACCTCTTTAGTCTCCTGCAAGAGGGAACATATTTTGTCTTTTATGACGCTGCCATTTTGAAAGAACACAATCCCTGTTATCACTAAAGGATGTCAACATACATATGAAAAAGGAGAAATTTGGCCCCTACTTCACACCATACACAAAAATCAAATCCAGATGGTTTGCAGATCTAAATGTGAAAACTAAAGCAATAAAAGCTTCTAAAAAATAAGAAAGCATGTTTCACAACCTGGGAGTAGGTGGGTATCTTAAAATAAACATAAGCAGCACTAACTGTAGAAGGGTAAATGAAAGAATTGGACTCCACTGAAATCATGAACTATATTCACCCAAAGATTCCATAAAGAAAGGAAAAGCCAAGTCACGAACTTAGAAAAACCTATATATATATATAGCATTCCACCCAACCCATAGGAAAAAGATAACTTGACAGATTATCTTACATAAACAGGCACTTCTCAAAAGATAATATCCTTGGCTAAGAAGGAGAAATTATATTATTTTTTTACCCAGAAAGCCCTGTCTCTTAATATCCAAAAATGTAGTAGCTTAAAATAACCATTTATTATACTCTTGGGCTCTGTGAACAGGAATTTAGATACGACACAGTAGGAATGATTTGTCTCAGTTCTAGGATGTCTATGAACTCAACTGCAGGTTTTTAGTGTTTTTAGTAAAAGGCAACCACCATAATATCAAAAGGAGGATAAAGGTACTTTAAAAACAATTGGAGAAAATTCAGACTTTTCAACGCAAAGAAGTAAAAGGCACAAAAGGGAAAAGAAGATACAGAAAGGAAAATATGGAATAAGGTAGTACAACAATCCTAATACAACAATAATTAAAATAAATGTAACTAGGGTAAATTTATAATAAACCCACCAAAATGTTGTGTACATAAGATACTCTTAAAACAAGAAGGCACAGGCAGTTTGGAAATAAAAGAATGGGCTATATCAAGCAAGTGTGAACCAAAAGCAAGTTAAGAAAGCAATCTTATTGGGTTAAGTATAATTTACGACCAAAAAGTGTCAATGAAATAAAGAGAAAAATAAACAATAGAGCAACAGGATATAATTATCAAAAGTACATATACTTTACCTGTCTCAAAGTATGTCAATCAACAACTAACAGAGATAAATGAATGAACAACTGTGATTGAAGATTTTAATGTTCACTAGTAAGCAACTGAATAGCCCAAGTAAATACAGTCAACATAGATTTAAAGAGTTAAATAAAATAATAAGCTCAAGCTATTATACATATACATACATGTATACACATACACCCATATCAAAAGATAGTGCCTATTTAAAGAAAAATAAGGCATTTACAAAAATAGACCACATACGATTGAAAAAAAAGCAACAAGTCCAAAATGTTCAATATCACATAGATGTTATTCTTTGGCCAAAATGAAATAAAAGTAACAAAAAGTAGCCTAAAATTCTAAATAAACTAAATGACATATCACTAAATTACCCTTGGGTAGAATTAAAACAATAAAGGCAATTCAGAAATACTTTGGAAAAATTACAATGGGAATAGCATTAAAAAATTGTAGGACACAGCTAACTCAGTATTTAGGTTAAAACTTTTATTTTTTTTAATCAATCCTCACCTGAGAACATGCTTAGAGAGTGAGGAGACGAGGAAGAGAGAGAGAGAGAGAGAGAGAGAGAGAGAGACAGACACATCAATTGGTTGCCTACCATACGTGTGCCCTGACCTGGAATCAAACAGGCAACCTTTCCATGCACAGGATGATGCTCAACCAACTAAGCCACTCAAGCTGAGCAAAAACTTTTAACTTCAAATACACTTATATAAAGACTGAAATGTTAAAAAGAAAGCAGACCATTTGCCTCAAGAAAATATGGGGGGGAGGAGACAACGGAAGGAAACTCAGAGAATTTTAAAGTAAAAAAATAAACACAAAAATCAATGCAGATTAAAAACAACAACAACAACAATAAGCATTAACAAAACTAAAAGCTGGTCCTTTGAAAAGATGAATTAGCTGGGCAATTCTTCCTAAATAGATTCATCAAGAAAGAGGAAATATGCAAATAAAATACAGAAACAAAAATTTTTAAAAATAATTATTGACATGAGATTTAAAAATAAATTCCTAGATATAAATTCCAAAAATGGCTTAAGGAGTAAAAAACTCGGAAAGACCAGTAAGTGTTAATAACACTGAACCCCGTCAGAGCTCTAGCGCCAGCTACAGGCCACCTTTCTTCTTTCCTCATGGAAACAGCTCCTCTGAGCCCTGGAGGGAACAGTAAATGAAGCTGTCAGCCTAGCAGAGGGCCCTGGACCCAGCCTGGACTTTCCAAATGCCCTATTTTGCACACTGGGATCAGTCTAGGGGTGGAAAATAATGCTCAAAGTCCTTTTTGTGGACTGATATGAACAATGAGGAAAAGTGAGTCTCTTTCCTTCTGGTATCAAATAAGTAGTTAGAACCCAGTAACGGGGAGCTACAGTGGCCACCTTGGCCCCCACCATAAAGAAACTAAAGCAGGAAAGCAGAAGAAAGCACAGATAAGAAAGAATTTCAAAAGAGAGACAGAGAGCCCTGGCCAGGTGGCTCAGTTGGTTAGGCATCATCCGGTGCACCAAAAGGTTGCTGGTTCATTCGATTCCAGGTCAGGGCACATGCCCAGGTTGCAGGCTTGATCCCCAGTGTGGGGTGTGCAGGAGGCAGCCGATCAATGATTCTCTCTCATCATTGATGTTTCTATCTCTCTCCCTCTCCCTTCCTCTCTGAAATCAATAAAAATATTTTTTTAAGTGAGAGAGACAGATCTGATGACAACTTGGGACCCCTGGATCCAACCAGGCCTGAAGCCCTCTCCACCTTTTAGAACTCTCATTCAAAAGACTCAATAGTCTTTTTTTTCTTTAAAGAAGTTTGAGTTTGGTCTCTGTCACTATAATCAAAAAATAACTGATGAATTAAAAGGTGGGGAAGAGGGAAGGTGCTAGATTTTTAGAGTCCTGAATGAATCTCAAGGACAGCTCACATAATCTCTAAGTGCCTCCGTTTTCTCATCTAAAAAAAAAAGTGATAATAGTATCCACTCATAGGGTCTTGGTGGAGATTGGGATGGTCCAGGGAAGCAACTGGCTGCTTTTATTCCATCTGAGGTCCCCTTGAAGGCAGGACCACGCCAGACTCATCCCTAGCCTGAGCTCAGCAAGTCTTTCTTGACAGGTGTTAGTGCCATCATGCCAATGAAGGGCACCTGTGGCTTCTACGCCAGCTGCCACTGGGCAACCACAAACACTGACGCAACACCAGCCACATTTTGATATTTAAAAATAAAACATCAAAGAAGTGAACTTAAAGTTAATCTGGGGTGTTGCTGTGTTACTCACAATTCCTGGAAAGGCCTCCTATTGGTCAATGACTGGGGGGAGGGGACCACCAGTGATGAAGGCCACTGGCCCCCTCTAACCATTAACCAGCCAGGAAGCTGGCAAACAGGATTTAGCAGCAACTGTCCCTCTGGCTTACTGTACACACCTGAGGACCCAGGACGCAGGACACAGCCAGCAGCTGCAACCTGGACTCTGCAGACGGTGAGTAACAGCTGAAGACACTCCATCCTTCCCTCCTGCCAGACCTCAGAACATAGGACTGCAACTTGCTTATTTAATTTTTTAAATTAGGGCATGAACAGCCAACGGGGATAGGAGGCAGCCCAGGAGAGGGCGTCCTGAATTCTGTGTCTGCCCATAGGAGGTTTGGTTTCCCCTAGCCTCCAGCTTTGTGGGGTTGACACTGAGCCAAGACCCATTCCCATCTGTCTCACAACTGATGCTCCTAAGCCAGACAGCATAAGAGCCCAGAGACCAGTCTGAGAGCTGGCATGGCAGCGCCCTGGGGGGACGCAGGGTCGGGGGAGAGAGTGCCCGCCTGGCATAGCACACACTGTGCATTCTACAGCGTTGCACACACCCCCTGGCTTGGTGACCTTGGGCCAGGATACTGCAGATAAAACAGCACTATCTGCTTTCCCACCACGTTAAGAGGCCCCAGGACTGTACCTGGCCCACAGGGCGTTTGTGAAAGCCAAGGATGCCGGGGGTGCTCACTATGTAGGTCACTTCAGAAATGAGGAACAAGGACATATTCGAAATGAATCATGAATAATATTGACACTGCATTTTCAGAGAGCTTTTTCACTCATCATTCTGTTATCTATAGAGAAAAGCAGAATGGCTGATCACAGGCTCTGAAGTCAGAACACACGGCTTAGAATTTCAGTTCTAACTCCCTGGGCCTCAGTTTTCTTATCTGTACTATGGACCCAGGATGACCCCTTAAGTGAGGTCACATAAGAAAACACTAACAGCTGTGACTATATTCACAACCATCTTGTAGCATCTTAATCCCCATCTGGGAGGAGTAACACAAGAGACAGCAGGAAGAGAAGGAAGCAAGCCCGCCTAACTCTAGGCTACACACTGCAGAAAGCCTTTGCCCAAGAGGGGCTCAAAGACAGGTTCAGAGGTGACCGGAGCTAAAGCAAAGATCTCATTGCAGTGTGATGGGGACAGTGACAGAGAGAAGCACAGAGGAAGGGCTTCCTGGAGGAGGTGACCTGGGACCTGAGGGAGTGAGCCAGACTAGGCAGGGAGAGGCTGCACCTACAGAGTGGAGCCATGTGGGGCAAGAATGGGATGGCGCCCTGGCCAGAGCCAGCTCCACAGACACTGGGAGCTGCAATGACCTTCCCTGCCCTGGCCCCTGCAGAGCAGTGAGTCTGGTGTGTGCTGGGAGAAAACCCCTGGGATAGCCAGCCATCGGGCTGTGGCTGAGACTTCCAGGGGCCACATCTGAGGCTGGGAGCAGGGCTGGCTGTCACCAGTGATGAGGTCATGAGGACCCCCTGGGTCACCTTGGTGAAGACCCACCCTGCCTGGAGCCCTGGAGAAGGCCAGCAGCTTGTTAATTAAAGGACACTATCAAAAGAGCAAAAAGGCACCCACAGAATGGGAGAAAGTACTTACAAGTCACATATCCGATAAAGGGTTAATATCCAGAATGCATGAAGAACTCCTAAAACTCAGTACAAAATACAAGAAAGCAACCAACTCAATTCAGAAAATGGGCAAAGAACTTGATAAATCATAGGAGGTATAATTTATACTTTCAGCTGAGATAACTGAGGCCCAGAGTCCTCCTGACTGGCCCCCAGTCACACAAAGTGGAAGAACAAACTGGGGCTTGAATGGGTCTCCTGCCTACTGTCCCACCAGCCCCAGTGCCTGGGAGGCCCCACATCATCTAATGAGCATTTCTCACTCTGCAGGCCCAGCATCCTGAACAATGCTGCTCGCCCTGTACACCTGTCTCCTCTGGCTGTCTACCAGTGGCCTCTGGACTGCTCAGGCTAAGGACTCTGATGCTGACATGAGCGTAAGGAGCCAGCACCGGGACCTGGCTCCAAACAATGTTGACTTTGCCTTTAGCCTGTACAAGCACCTAGTGGCCTCAACCCCCGGCAAGAATGTCTTCATCTCCCCTGTGAGCATTTCCATGGCCTTGGCTATGCTTTCCCTGGGGGCCCGTGGCTACACAAGGGCCCAGCTTCTCCAGGGCCTGGGCTTCAACCTCACTGACACGTCTGAGGCCAAGATTCATCAGGGTTTCCGGCACCTCCATCGCCTCCTCAGGGAGTCAGACACCACCTTGGAAATAACCATGGGCAATGCCTTGTTCCTCAACCAGAGCCTGGAGCTGCTAGAGTCCTTTTCCGCAGACACCAAGCATTACTATGAGTTGGACACCGTGGTGACAGACCTTTGGGACTGGGCCAGAGCCCACAAGCAAATCAATGAGCACATCAAGAACAAGACACAAGGGAAAATTGTGGACTTGTTCTCCGAGCTGGACAGCCCAGCCATGCTCATCCTGGTCAACTACATCTTCTTCAAAGGTACCCCACCCATCCCATTCTGATGGCACCTCACCTACTACTGCCAAGACCAGTAACAGCTATCAATATTCAGGTGCACTCGTGGGCAAGGCCTTTTGTTTTACAAAGCACATGCACGTTTGTGAGTCTCCATCTTCACCATAACCCTACTAGAAAGATGGAATTACATAACCTTACAAAAAGGTCAAAACGACAACCAGAAGAGTTGAGTGACTTGCCCAAGCTTTTATAGGCTGGTATGAGGCCCAAACATGTAACCATGAACAGCCTGGCTACCTCACAGTCCATAAACATTGGCTAAGATCTGGCTGTGAATCAGGCCCTGGGCCAGGGACTGGAAACAGCAGCCTAGAACCAGACAGACCTCCGGAGCTCTCGGATTGCACCTGAGCTGTCGTATATACATTTCCCAGGTGCTCATAGCCAGCCAAACTTCAGTTCCTCCTCACCCATTTGGAACAGCTTTTCCAAAATCCCTCTTCATAAAAATCACCAGGGAGACTTGTTAACATTATAGATTCCAGATCCCACACCTGACTTACTAAAGCAAGACCTCCACAAGAAAGTCCTAGAATTTGTATTTTTTAACCCTCCTCTAATCATTTTAAAGATCAGAAAATTTGGGGACATATTGTCCTTGAGAATAAAATCTAAACTCCTTAGTTCTCAACCCCCATCGGCACTCAGGGAATTGGACAATGTCTGGAGATATTTGTGGTTGTCACAATGAGGGGTGAGGTTGGATGTGCTCCTGGCGTCTATTGGGAGAGCCTGGGGTCCTGCTAAACACCCTAAAATGCACAAGACAGCCCCACAATGATATCTGCCCCAATGGCTATAGTCCCAAGGTTGAGGAACCCTGGCCCAGCACCATCTGCTTCTTTGCCTCTCCAGCCTCATGTCAACATTTTCCCTACACACACACACACACACACACACACACACACACACACACACACACAATGTCTGACCATACTAAATTCCTTTTGTGTGCTTGAGTATGGCTGTCCCTGTACAAGTCTGTATGAGTTTCCTATTGCTGCTGCAACAAATTAATGCAAATATGGCTTAAAACAATGCAATTTATTATATTACAATTCTGAAGGTAAGAAATCCAAAATGAGTCATACTGGGTTACAGTCAAGGTGTTAGTAAGGCATGTTCCTTCTGGAGGTCTTGTTCACACCCCTCTTCCATTTTTAGGGGCCAATCTCAGAAACGGAGCTAAGCCTCAATCCATTCAAGAGTGGAAGATGGAACAGGCCTTTAACCTCTGGGGATTTCCCATTTATCAGGAAACTCTAGGGGACTGGCGGGGACCTTCCAGGGTGAGGGAAGCTGCTGTGTAACTTGCGTAGCGATTACCCCTGGCGCTCAGCTGCCACCACGCTCCTGCTCTTACAGGCCTATCTCCTGCCCTCCCTCTCCCTCTTCTTCCCAGGCACATGGGCACACCCCTTCGACCTGGCAAGCACCAAAGAGGAGAACTTCTATGTGAATGAGACGACCCTGGTAAAGGTGCCCATGATGTTCCAGTCGAACGAGATCAAGTACCTCAATGACCCGGTGCTCCCCTGCCAGCTGGTGCAGCTGGACTACCTGGGCAACGGCACCGTCTTCTTCATCCTTCCAGACAAGGGGCAGATCGACGTGGTCATCAAGGCACTGAGCCGGGACACCATGCAGAGGTGGTCCGATTCCCTGACCAGTGGGTAAGCCCTCCAGCTGGCTGTGTGAACTTCTGAAGTGGATCTGTCCCCGGAAAGTGGGGTGGGTGGAAAAGGGGTGCACCTGGGCGCCCCTGATGCCCCGGACACACCCTCCAGGGCTCACTGTTTTCCTGTCTGCTGGGTTCCCAGAGGCCATGAGGTTCTCTGACCTCCGGTCACCTTCATACATCTATCCATTGACACTGAGATATTTTGGGGCATTCCACAAAGTGAGGTGCCTGGGAGGTTAATAGCCACCCTCTGTGTTATCAAATGTTTGCATCATTTTCTTAAACTGAGTTCACCAGCCTCCCACTTACCCATTTATAACCTTGCTTCCCTGAAACCAAGTACTGCTAGAGATGCCTGAGAGACTACGGTTAGACGTGTAATGAAAATGGCCACAGTATCCACCACGGAAGCAACACAAAGCCCATGAATGATTCTTAAGTCACTCAGGGATCTAACTCTTCTTCAATCAATCAGTAAATAAGTAAAAATCAGGACATACAGTAGGTAATAATTGAATAAGGAAAAAGAGAGTGAGGAGTGTCCATGCTGATGGGTTGGTGGTCAGGAGAACCAGTCAATGAATCTCAGGCCCAAGAAAGGGGTGGGCTCAGAGTGCATATTCAGGGAGGCTGACTGAGCATGTGAGCAATGAATGAAGGAACGAAAGAACAAATGAATTAATTTTCCCCCAGGCACTTCTGAGCTAGAGGACAACCACAGTTATGGTCAAACATGTGCCCAGCCTCAATCTTCACCTTAGAGGAGGCAGATGTTTTTGAACATGACCCTCACTCTTAGGAGATCTGAGTTCTGTCTGTACACAAGCAAACACCAACCAACAAGGGACCTAGTGGTGGGTGGGGTGGTGCAGACTCCAAGGGCAGAGGGCATGCAGGGAAGAGAGCAGCACTTGGATCTGGAGTAGCTCAGGAAGGTTCATGGAGCAGGTGTCATTCCTTTCATTCCCTCAGTCACTCACTTATTCACCTAACAGTCATAAATGGAAGCACCTACTATGTACCACGCACTAGGCTAAGCAGAAGGGATAGAACAGTGAATAAGACACAGTGCAGACCTCAAAGACATGCACTTCAAAGCAGAAAACAGATTCTGGTGGAATTTACAGTGGACAGTGACGGAAGCTCTGCCCAAGGGAGAGAGGGAAGGTGATGTGTGCAATGCCGGGGGGTGGGGGAGGGAGGGGGAGGTCCCTGACTGGACCCAGGGCCCTGGGGAAGGAGATGCAGAGCAGACTGCTTTGGCTTTGAACTGTGTATTAAGCCTAGGTGAAAGTTCAACCAGCAGGAAGTGGCCCCTAGAGCATGAGTGGAAGAGGGAATGGCACCAAGTCAAGGAAGCTATGCCCAGGGCCCCAGCCAAGCTGGGCAGCAGCAGCAAAGAATAAGAACAATTCAACTCAGATGAACTTAGCAATCCAAGACTTTGCAGGTACAGAATCTAGAAAGAAGCTCTTCTACTTTATTACATACTAGAGGCCCGATGCACGAAATCTGTGCAAGAGGCTCGGCCCCCGCCACCATGGAAGGTTGTCCGGAAGGATGTCCGGAAGGCCATCTGGTCTAATTAACATATTATGCTTTTATTATTATAGATGTAGGTTTTGGGCTTTATGCTCTGGAGTTGCGTTTACTTTGAATGATCCCCTCCACTGTCTGCTGCTGGGGCTCCTGGAAAGGTTATCCAGTTCCATGAATAGACATAGAGGTGCCTGGGAGTTTGACCTCACTCCTGAAGGGACTCAGGGTCTAGTCAGGTCTGGGATTCAGAGAGACCCCCTATGGCTACATGGGGGACACAGAAGGCATTCTTATAGAGTCCTGAAACCAAACATACCTGCCCTGAGTGTGTGAGGTTGTGTGTGGGGGGGTAGTATGTGGAGGTGGGTATGTTCATGTGAGCCTGTGTTTGGGTGATGGTAGATAGGGACCCATTTGCCAGCTCTTCACCATTTCAACTGTCCCATCCCCACCTCCATTCAGGTACAATGCCACCAGGTGCTAATGACACACCCGGATTCTAACGAATTCTGGACCCTAATGTGTTGCAAATGAGATCGATAATCTTTCTCTTTACACCAAAAGTAATCTCTTCACTAAACTACTTTAAATTACCATTAATTAATAACACATGTCACTTTCTTCTAAATCCTTATTAAAATAAAGATCCAAGGTGAAGTTTTTCGCCTTTAGCCCTCATATGTGACTGGGCATGAACAATTCTCTACTCCATCCAAGCGGAGCCTGCCCAGTCCCAGAAGACAGACCCTCCGGTTCCTCACACCCGTGCTTTTGTGACCCTTCCCCCACCTACCCTCCCAGCATCACCTCGACGCTCACGCTCCCCAGTCTCCCCAGAGCACCGAGCCCCCACCTTCAGGTCCAGCTTGCACCCACCTCCCGCGGAAGCCTCCACCCCACTCAGAACTCGCACACTCTTTCCTCCCTGTCCCCTTGTCCCGCTGTCAAAGCAGATTGCTTTGGCTTTGAACTGTGTACTGAGTCTCACTTACCCCCGCTGCACTGTGTCACAGGGGCAGCTCTCCAGGGGCGAGGAGATGGGGCCTGGAGGCGGCTGGTCCTGGTGCTTCCCTGGTGTCACTGGGGGAACCCTCGGCCTCTCCGGACTTTCAGTCTCAGTCTGGACACTGATGGTAGCGTGAGCGCGTGCGGACTGGTCGAGGTCCAGGAGGTAAAGAAGGTCCGCCAGCCTGGCATCGGTCCATCCCCCTTACTTTCCGTTGCCATTTCCCAGAGGAGAGTTTCCACATCCCGCTCACCGCGATGCCTCCTCATCGCCTGGCGGGATGTTCAAGTGCTCAGGGCTGCTGGCAGCCTCCGGGACTCCCAGGGCTGTTGGCTCAGTGCACAGAGGTGCTGCCTCCCCTCCTGCGGTGGAGCCCATGTCGTTTCGCTGACGCCCCTCAGACTCAGGCTTTCAGGAACCTTCTCACTCTCTGGAGAACAGGACAAGGAAGAAATATTTAAAAGAAATTAATACCTTGGTAGGTGAAAATGTTTAGCATCCCACGCCCAACATGATTCCACCTAACTTTCTAGAAACCCCACTGGCTTTATCCAATGAGAACTGCTGGCCGAATCTCGGAATTCTCACAGAACCGACCTCAGAGCAGAAGGGCCAGGGCACAGAGAGGGCTCACCATGGCTCTGCCACACAGCCTTAGTGGCACAGCTGTGGCCAGGACCCCTGTCCCTGTCCCTGCCCCTTTCCCCAAAGAACCTGTCCAGCTGAGAGGCAGGGTCCGGAGGGATCACAGGAAGTCTGGCTGGCCAAGCCCAGCCCTGGGAAAATCCAACCCCGTCTGCTTACCCCCGAGCAGCCCGGTGGACCTGTACATCCCGAAGGTCTCCATCTCGGGAGCCTATGACCTTGGGGGCCTCCTGGAGGACATGGGCATTGCAGACCTGCTCACCAACCAGGCCAACTTCTCAGGCATCACTCAAGAAGCCCAGCTGAAGGTGTCAAAGGTAAGTCTCTAGAGCCTTCCCCCCAACAAAAAAAAAATGCACAATATAAATAATAATCAGAGGCATGGAGCCCACTAAAGAATAGGCCCAGAGCCCCAGGCTGAGAGCCCCGGCCTTGTCCGTCCCAACAGGTGATCCACAAGGCCACGCTGCAACTCGATGAGAAGGGGGTGGAGGAAGCTGCCCCAACCAGAGTCTCCCGAAACGAGGCGTCCGAGCCTCTCACCATTCACTTCAACCGGCCCTTCATCATCATGATCTTCGACCACTTCACGTGGAGCAGCCTCTTCCTGGTCAAGGTTGTGAATCCAACCTAAGCGTCCACCTTCCCCAGAGCCACCACAGAAAGGACATGTGAGGAGGGAGGGCCTCAGTCCTCTCCAGGTTCTCCTCTGAAATTATTGGCATTGTGACTGACGACAGGGTATTGAAGGAGAAAGGTGGGGCACCTGACAGAATCTGAATCATAGCCACATAGTGTAGTCACGTGATTTTGGTTTTTGATCCTTGAATTATGGTTAAGTAATCATATGCGGCAGCTGGGGGAAGGGTATATGGAAGCACTATTATTTTTGGAAATTGTGTAAGTTTGAAATTCTTTCTAAATAAAAACTTTAAAAAGAAATCATGTAAGCCAAAACACAACAGGAAGACATTTTCAAAGTGCTAGGGGGGAAATGTCATTATCTTTCAAAAAGAAAAAACAAGTCTTCAAAAATGAAGGCAAAGTATTTTTTTAAGATAAACAAAGCTGAGAAAATCTATCAGCTTCACTAAAGAAATTTTTTAAGTAGTTTTTAGGCAGAAAAAAAGATGACTCAAGATGGAAACCTGGACCTATACGAAAGAATGAAGAACACTTGAAAGGGCAAATACTTATGTGGATAAAACAAAACATCTTAAAAACATCTTTAAAGTATAATTACTGCTTAAAGCAGAGAAAGTTATCAATGAATGTGTTGCTTCTCACCTCTTAATCCTCCCTTCATTGCTGCTCTGCAAAAATGAATCTGGGCCTTTTAAATATTTTTGTGTTGCCTGCTGGGCATGATGCTAAACTTTGTCAGTAGAGGGCTGATAGAGTGACATTGAGGAAGAGAGGCCTTACCCTCCTGGTTAAGGGCAAAGGGTATTAAATGAGATAAAAGAACTGAACTGACTGACTGACGAACAGATAGACGTATAAATAGACGTAATAGATATGATAGATAAATAGATAAAAGATAAATAGAAGACAGCTAAACAGACGGATAGGGCATATATCTTGAAAAATAAGAATTGAAGGGTACTTCCTTAAATATACTACTTATCCCATATATACCTGAACCTGAATCCTAAAGCCCTAAAGCCATTGTATTACTTAGTAAGAAAACATGAGTATTCCCACTAAGGTCAAGAGTAAGACAAGGCTGCCCGTTATATCTACTACCATTTTGCATTGTCCTGGAGGGATTAGACTGTGTAATTAGAAAGAGAAAGCAAAGGTGCAGATGGCATTTAATATATTTGCTTAGCCCTAGCACAACAATGATTAAACAAACTCAAACAATGAAAGAATTCAGCCTAATATAAGGAAAAGGAATTCACATGCAAAAACAGACCTTCATACACACAAGTAACAACCAGTTAAGACATGTACTGGAAGAGAAAACCCAACAGCAACCAAAAAGATAAACATCCTATATAATAAAGAGCTAATATGCTAATTAAACCAAACAGCAGAACGACCACCCAGACGACCTTCCAGACAAGGCCGGGGCTGTGAGGGCCGAGCCCCTTGCACAAATTTCGTGCATCAGGCCTCTCGTTAGAAATAAACAAGATGTGCACAATCTATGTTCAGAAAATTATAAAATATTTCTTAAAAATGCAATTGAATGAACAAAATAAACTGATGAACAAAATACATCCAGGGACACAGAAGCATGGAACAGACTATCAAACCTCAGAGAGAAGGCGGGGGGAGTGTGGGTGGCTGGGAAGAGATCAACCAAAGAACTTGTATACATACATGCATAACCCATGGACCCAGACAAAGGGTGGCGAAGGCCTGGGGTGAGGGGTGGGGGTGGGCTAGAACAGGTCAATGGGTGGGAGGGAGATTGGACATATGTAATACTTTCAACAATAAAGATTTTTTTTAAGATGCAAAATTATACTTGAACAAATGGAAAGAAGATTCTTCTTGAATAAGATGCCTCAACATCATCCAGGTGTCAGTTTTTCCCAAGTTAATTTGATCATTTAATGGTATTCCAATAAAAACACTAACAAATTTTTTCTGGAGACAGACAAGATGATACCAAAGTTCATATAAAAAAAATAAACATGCAAGAATAGCCAGGAAAACACTGAAAGGGAAAAGATATGGAAGACAGGGAGCAGGTGAAATGGAAATTTAATATCTGATCCAGAAGGACTTTTAAGTAAGTGGCACTGGAACAACTGAATAGCCATTTGGGAGAGGAAAAGGATAAAATTAGGTCCATTCCTCACTCCATATTCAAGAATAAACTAAGAATCAGAGATCTAAATAGAAGTAAAAAAAAACACACAATACAAATACTGGAAGAAAACACACCACACATTTTCTCTATACATTAGGTGTAGGAAAAGGTTTTCTAACCATGCCTCAAAGTACAGGTGAAACTGAAGAAAGAACTGACCAACTTGACTAAGTAAAGCATATTTTTTAATTGCATGCCCAACAATTCATAAGCAAAGTCAGCAGAAATGGAAACTTGAAAGAAATATTTGCAATATATGTCACTGGTAGAGGACAAACCCTAATACATGGTGCTTAAACATATGAACATATGTCCAACTTCACTTATAATAAAAAATGCAAATTAAAACTATACTGAGATACCACTTCCTATCTACCAGCAGGCAAACATTTGAAAACTTCACAACACACCCTATGGGTTGTGTGGGAACAGTCATTCTCATACAAAAATGCCCGTGAGGAAAGGAATTGGCAACAGTGACTATTCTCGTTCCCTGAGACTGATGTTGCCGATTACCACTAACTAGGTGGTTTTACATTATTTTTCTTTTTTTATCTTAACACATTTTTTTTTTTTAATTTCAGAGAGGAAGGGAGAGATAGAAACATCAATGATGAGAATCATGGATCAGCTGCCTCCTGGGTGCTCCCTATGGGGGATTGAGCAGCAACCCAGGCACGCGCCCTGACCGAGAATCCAACCCTGACCTCCTGGTTCACAGGTCGGCGCTCCACCACTGAGCCACGCTGGCTGGCCACAAACTAGGAGAAATAAGTTCTTGCACAGTTTTGGGGGACTAAGGTCAGAGGTCAAGGTGTCTGCAGGGCTCGCTCCTTCTGGAGACTGAGAGTGAATCCATTTGAGTCTCCCAGCTGGGTGGCCGCCTGCAGTCCGTGGGGTGCAGGGCTTGGAAGCACACGCCCATCCCTGCGTGTCGGTCTTCACGTGGCCTGGTCTTCTCGGTCTGCGCCTCCAATCTCCCTCTGCCTTTCTCCCAAGGAGTGAGGCGCACCCCAAACCCAGAGCCCTCCTCTCTCCAGATCCTCGCCTTATTTACATCTGCAAAGACCCCCTTTCTTTTATTTTTTTAAATGTTTTTATTGATTTTTTGAGAGAGAGGGAGAGGAGATCCTCGCCTTATTTACATCTGCAAAGACCCCCTTTTCTTTCTTTTTTTTAAATGTTTTTATTGATTTTCTGAGAGAGAGGAAGGGAGAGGGAGAGAGAGAAACATGGATGAGAGTCATCCATCTGCTGCCTCCTGCACGCCCCCTACTGGGCACTGGGTCCGCACCCCCGGCAGGACCGAGAGGCCAACCCGAGGCCTCTCTGTGGGGCCAGGCGGCCCCTTTTCTAAAAAATGTCGCATTCACAGGACCAGGAGTTAGGACTCAGGCCTATCTTTGGGGGGTGGTAGGGGAAGGACTACTCTTGAACCAAACAAATATAACAAAATTAACGGCATATTATTTTTTGACCCAGAAATCCCACTGTTAGGAATGTGGCCTAAAGACACACTTCCAACTCCTTTTAAGAGTAATCTGCTGGGTGTCCTTGAACAAGCTAACGGCCCTCTCTGAGCATCCGTTTCTCTACCCTCCAGGGAGCGCTTCTCATTTCCCTCCTGAGGAACCTTCGGCCTGCGGCCTCCTGGGCCAGGCAGAACCCCGCGCTCCCCCAGGCCACGGAGGACGGCTTCTCGGGGCAGCCCGGGAAGTGATGGACTTGCCTGGGCCATCAGCTGAGCGAGCGGCGCTGGCGACAGAGCAGGCCGGTCCGCAACCCTGTCAGGTGTCACTACAGCTTGGTGAGGCCAAGAGCCCGACATTTGGCCCCAGGCGTGCATGTATGCGTGCCTGCGTGCACTGCGTAAGCGTGCGTGCGTGCGTGCACTGCGTATATGTGCCTGCGTGCCTGCGTGCACTGCGTGCGTGGGTGGGCGTGCGTGCGCATGGGCGGGCGCGGGGTGTGCGTGCATGTGTGGTCGGGCAGGCGTGGTGCATGGGTGCGTGCGTGAGTGTGCATGTACGTGCATGTGTGCGTGCGTTGTAAGGGTTTGAGAAACCCGCTCTTTTCCACCTGCCTGAGCTTCCGCCATCGGACCCACGTGGAGCCGACTGGCTGCGGTCCGCCCACTTTTTCCTGAGGCTGATCGTGCCAGTAACGGGCCTTGGCTGCTTTTCAAATTTGCTCTAGGAGCCCCGTCCTCGCCGTGTGAGGTGTGAGGTGTGAGGTGGAGGGTGGGCCTCCCAGTTCACCCCGGTCACCGGAGGCCTTCCTGCCAGCGCTTTCCCGGTCTCTCTTCAGGTGCGTGTGATGCGCCGCAATCGGGAGCAACTGGACATCCGGGGGCCTGGGCCCGCAGTCCCCTCGGTAACAGTCCAAATCCGGGGGGCCTGTGCTGGCCCAGAGGTTCATTCTGGCACTAAAATTACACCACAAATGCCACCCAGTAGCCCTTCCGACCAGGTACCCAGCGGTGCGGGCAGGACTGGTTAAGCCTCCGCCTGGGGGTGGGGATTCCGGCTGCAGCGCTGGATGGATAACCGTGTGCAACACAGATGGCCCCACCGGCCGCATCTGACGGCATCCCCACGCCTTCCAGGGGAGTGATGCCAGAGCATTTACACGTTCAAAGAAACATTATTTTCTTATACTTCACTTTTATTTCCCCTCCATATTATAGAGCAGTATTTCGCTTTTTTAGAAGATCTGTGGATACGTTCTAGTAACTATAAATTTCACTTCAGGATAGTAAAGGGCACATGAAGTATTTTTATTGTAAAAAGGAGGGTCGATGGGGCTTTTTGTCTTAAAAGGCCTCCCCCAGCCTTGACGTTGGACACTTGAGGACTCCAGGCCCTCGATTGGCCAAGTAGTGAGTTGACCTTGAGTTGACCTTGCGTTGCTCATAGCAGGGTACCTGCCTGTCTCTCCCGCTGAACCCAAAGTTCCTTGGAGGTTGGGGGAACAGGTCTTCATCATCTCTGCCCCGCCCCCATCACGTGCCAGCCGGGATGGGGACTCAGGAGGCCCCCCTTCACTGGAGGCCTGGGCGCCTGGGACAACGTCATCCCCTGGGGTTTGCGAAACAGAAGCTGCCCTGGAGGGATTTCCA